ATATACACTGAGTGGCCAAATTATTATGACCACCTCTTCAGTCGTCTGCTTCCATACCCTATACAGCGCGATGTGCGTCGAACAGTACGTTCAGAGACGTTCACAGTTGCTCCTTGATTAAGATCACTTGCAATTTGTCGCACTGTTGCTCTCCTGTTGCGCTGCACAACCCTGGCCAGCCTTCTCTCTGATCGAGCATTCAGTACCCTGTGACGACCACAAGTCTGACGTTGAGACCCGGTTTTTTGCTTGATTATCCATTCTTTGTGCACATTAACAACTGCTGCTCTAGAACACTCCACAAGTGCAGCCGTTTTGCTGATACTCGTTCCGACACATCTCGCACCCACAATATTCCGCATTGAAATTCAGTTAAATCACTTTTCTTTCCCATATCTGAACAAGCTACACAGTATAACTGATGACTCACTTGTCCAGCATTCCCGTGCTATAGTTATCTTGCCCTCTAGCGGCAGCGCTGTGACGCAATAACTCATTTGCATAAAACTCTGAGGTGGTCATAATAATTTGGCCACTCAGTGTATATAATGAGAGGGTCAATGCGTGAAGGCATGCACAGAAAAAGAATTATTATTATTTTTTTTGCGAATGAAATGATCTATGAATGTTATAAAATTTGTTAATTTAGCAATATTTCTTATTTTTTGCTAGAAATATAAAATTTACAGCATTCTAAAGATAAAATGTTTTGAAAATACAAAATGTATGAGCATTTGCTTACATCTTACTACAGAGCCATTGAACAGCGAATCCACATATCGGAGGAATGAAAAATAACTTGTTTCATTATGAAAACACATTCTGTCAATTGTTGATTCACTTATATTGGTCATTTTGGATAACATTGCATGCTAGGATAGTCAAAATATTTTATTTAAAAAAGAAGTGATTTACCTGAACGGTTGCTTTAGAAATCCAGGATGCAGAAATGAATATCTTTTCCTTGAAATTCATTTGAGTGCCGCACAATGCAACGAAAGTGGTGACAATCCGGATTGAAATGCCCAGGAACAAGATCCCCAGACCTAGACCTTTTTAACAACATTATTTTGTATTTAGAAACATTGTTCATTGCTTTTTCCTTTTAGAATACATATGCAAAAGCAATATATAATCTTTTGTCAATCAGGAGCTTAAAAGTTTTATTTTGTTGCGGAAAGACTATAAAGCGTAGCAACTTCAAATTAAGAAATAGTGATGAAAAAAAAATACAGAGGAAAGAATAAGGCTCGTACGCACCTAGATAAAATGAATCGCTGCTATCAATTTTGTTATAAAAAACGGAAAATTTCGTAATATTAAATTCCACTGTCGATATTTCATATCTGCTATCTTCAGATCTACATATATTTACTTAGAGAAAAAATAAAATATTCTGGTGGCAACAAACAATATAATAAAAATCTTAATAATATGACTACCACTTTTTAATTTTTTCCAGGTTGTCTATCAATGGAAAACTATCAAATTTTTTGACTTGGGATGTTCATAATACTCGTGACAATTGATTATTATATTTTCTGCTATTAAACAAATGTTTCGAGTTTCTCAACTATTAAGAAAAGAACTTAAAATACTAATAAAAATAACATCCGAATGGAAAAAATGCGCTAAGCAGCAGAGAAACCAAGAGGAATAAAACAAATGAGACGAAGAAAAATTAGTAAAAATTGAAAAAATATGACAATCAAGGCTGCCGTCATCAGGGGACCAGTCCTCAGGGAGTGCAGGACTGGTACCCCCTGATGACGTCAGTCTTGATTGTCATATTTTTTCAATTTTTACTAATTTTTCTTCGTCTTATTCGAGTTTCTCCACTTAATCAGTAATTCTCAATATTTTTGAGATTAGTACAAATTAGGTAACCGGTTTCCTTAAATTGTACTACTTGCAGATTTCCCGAACGCAACTCATTTTCAGGAAATACTGCCACAAATATTATTACAAGAAACAAATTATGCAAGTAGCTGAGCATTTTGTTATTAAATTATTTGGAAAGTTAATGAATTGTCAATGAACTGTTGTCTATAAACTATTAAAATCGTATTTTTTTGGCATTTTGAGAATAAAAAAATTTGTCAATAAAAACATTCAGAGAATCCGGGTGTCGTGCTTATTAATAGGCATTAATCTAAATATTTCTTCGAAGATTGCATAGATGAAATCTTATTCTTTGAAGATAATAGGATTCTCAATGACTTTAAAGTTTAAAAAAAAATACTGATTAATCACAAGAAATAAAACACTGATACGAATTTAGTACATAATTTTAAGTGAACAGTTTTTTAAAATTTTAAAGAGTTGAATATATTGTCTCTTTTGCAACGAAAAAGTTTGCAGTATTTTATAATTAGCCTGATACTTGTTAATCTTCAACCAACATCGCCTTTAGGCTAATTGGAATGAAAAAAATTATCATTCCTTGCTCTATTAGCCTATTTTATTTCTATCAGTAGGCTTAGAGCAGTGAAGACTTATTTTATTGTATAATCGGCGCGTGCATGGACCACACTGCTGACGTAAAATATCCTCAGTGGTAGACAGATCATGGGTTAGAGTCCCCTTGCCGTCAAGCTAACCGAGGGAGGTTTTCATGGCCTTCCTCTTCATGCAACGCTTTAGTTCCTTCAAAAAGTCCTCCACGAAGGCAAATTTCTCCCAATACTTGATCCAGGAGTTCTCTTGTCTTCTGGATTGGGTCTTAAATGACAAGGCTACGGAGTTGAACATTAGCAGTTGTAAACTCAAAAAATTGGATCGACTGTTGAACGACGGTTATAAAATCAGTGTCCGGAACATTTTAAATTCCTACTCGAATTATTTTCGAATTATACTAAAAGTATATAGGGTAATTGTTATGAGCCTAAAAAATGTCAGGCAGATTAGGAAATATCAAAGACTTTTTTAATTAAATAGGCAGACAAACCCCGGTGATATTTGCTAAAATACTGATAATTCAATGCAGATACTTACCTAAATTTAGTCTGTCTAGTGAGATTTGAATTCCAATCAAAGCAAAAAGAAAAATTTCCAGTATTTTCCACAGCATTCCAATTATACTGATGAGAGAGTTCTGAAAATATATATATTTTTTAAAAAGCATCAGAAAAAAAAACAATGAAAAGTATCACACAAAAATTGCGATTCAATTTGCCATCTCAAAAATTTAAGCATGAGCAAAAGGCAGAAACAAATAATTTGCTAAAAAAAAGCACTTATTCTATCATAATTTTGATAAATAAAAAGACTAGAGGTGAAATGTTTGGCAGTTTAAAAATAATCTTACATAAATATGGTTCCCCCATTATTCTTGATATCATTTTCTGTTGAATTAATTAGCTTCTGTGGGAGGGTGCTACAGTGTTCTATTTAATTAGCTGGTTAAAGTGATCTCAATTGGATTTAGGCAGACCAGTCTAATACTTGAATATTTTATTGAGAAAACCAATTTTTTGTCGACCACCACAAATTAAAGTTAAAATATTTGATGGTATTCCATCGATGGATCAACATAATCTTGATGGTAAACATCAATAATTCCATCATGAACTACTATATTTTTGATGGTAACCAACATAATTAACCATCACTCTAATGTAGAAATTCGGACTGATTTATGAGGGTCCAACATATGAATAGCAACTTGTTTTGATGGTTTGTTCATGTTGAATCATCAGAAATTTCCATCAAAGTTTCTCAGAAATCAAATGTGTGAACGATCATGAACCACCATCATCCCAATGCAGGAATTCAAACTGATATATGATGGGCCAGCATAAAAAAATTGTTTGGATGGTATATTCCTGAGAACCAACAAGAATTCCCTCTAAACCATCATGGAAATGTATAGTTGGAACCATCACATGGAATGTTGGTTCATGAGAACCAAACTTCAGTTGATGGTTAACCATCGTAGTATTAAAGTAGCATTTTCCGTAATGGAATGATGGAAGTTTGCTGGCATATCAAAAACCATGAACACCTAATGGAAAATGTTGAATGATGGTGACCAACAAGTGATGCTGGACCATCATGAAACCACCAGATGGGACCATCAAGAATTTTGACTCGAATTATGTATCGAGGCATTGCTAGTTGAAATATACAGTCTCCCAGGACTGTCTCAGATGTTGTCTTCCATGTAGGAAACATCCTTGCTGAAAAATGGACTCTTTTTCGAAGGCCAATATGAGTTTCATTTAAATTCCATTTTTTTCCCCTCATCATTAACCATCCGACGCATGTTTCCTTTTTTTTGTTGCCTCGTTTATAATGTGGTTAAGATGTGAGAAGAATATATTTGGCATTTTCCATTTGGCGAATTGACATATTTCTGAGCCGTGGTGGCTCATGTTATCTCATGTATACAACCTAGCATAGTAACAAATTCTGAATCACTGTAACTATTTACTGCAGTCTTGTACATATCAAAATAAATACCGCTGACTGGGCCCGTTCTTTGCCTGGGGTGGAGCTGGACTAGGGGTCAAGTCCTGAGCTTTATGGTTAAGGGTTTTGTATAACCTAGGTACATGCTCAGGGCTTGGAGGAAAGAAAAGTCTCCTTGTCGTCGTGGGAGGCTTTCGTAGTTTTCCGTTCCATGTAACGCAAATGCGGATTAGTTCCATCAAAAAGATTTCCAAGAAGGCAAACTTCTCCCGATACTTGATCCAGAAGTTCCCTTGTCTTCTGGATCTGGTTCAAAATGACAAGGCTACGGCATTGAACACGGTACCGTGAACCCAAAAGTTGGGTCAATTGTTCGACGACGGTTATAAAATAAAATAAAATTGACATGTTTTGCCTTGATATTAATTTCCAAACTTGCCTATCTGTCTGAACACTTGTAGCAAGTCCAAATCAAGGTTTTTTTTTCCTTCAACGCTTGATAAATACCTCGAATTGATCTACTTGAAATTGTGGAAATTTTCTGCGAAATAATAAGCTTCTCTGTTTCTGTTTTCACTAAGAATTAGCTTTGTAGGAGTCATCTAAAATAAATTAAAAATCACAACTTAAATGAAAGAATATTTCTAGATAACATCTCGGTTATAATTTAAAAACTTTCCAGTAAATGAATTTTGCTGTGTACTTAAATGTTTGAGAGAGTTTAAATTTTTCCATATAATTCAATAAAAAAAAAACTTTTTAATTTAACCTTCGATCACTTCTTGCATAAGTTTTGAGTCGCCTTGCTTTTGACAGCTCGTCAGATACACCCAATTCAACAAGAAAATGTTTGTCAAAAAACTTTGCAAAAACTATAGACATACAGTCAAACCCCGTTATAGTGAACATACCCGGATATAGTGAACGAAATGGTCGCTCCTGTGCTTAATGTTATTTTTTGTGGATAGAGTGACCAATGGCGGACCGTATAATCTATTTAAAGAAGGTATAAACAAAAGATGAATGAATTAAAAATGTAAAGTTGTCCAAGAATGAATAATTCAAGATCAACAATAGATCTGTTATAATCGTTCCTGAATTATGATTGGATCAAATTAAGATCTATCTCTCTCCCACCCACGCTCTGAACTAAATTCACATAACAAAGTAACACAATCGATATTTGTTCAAATGAAATTCGATATTACAACTGTTTAAACGCGACGTTTCCAGAAATACTTCATTTTACACAAAGTTTTTACATCAAATTTACCAACATTTTAGGGTTGTCTTTACCATATGGAAAGTACTCTTATTAAGTTTCTCGTGTATTATTTGCTTGTAAAATAATAATGAGCAAATCTTTCTGCTTCGTCGGAAGATTATCTTTAACTCTTAGCGTAGAGGTGAAAATGTTAAAAGGAAAAGAAAAGAAAAAAGAATTATTATGCAGGGAAAATTTTGACGTTTACGGAAAAAAACGTTTAAATTTCGATAACTACACTTCATTGCTTTTTTTTTTGCACGAATAATACTCTCACCACAAATTTTTTTTAATTGCATTGGAATGAGACACTTTATTAACATTTTTAATTTATTAGGAGGAGGGTCAGATGAGATGCATATTACCGGTGCAAACCTGTTTCAGCAGCTCTCTGATAATTAAGATTTTGAATAGTTATGGCTAGGGAGTGTATAATTGTTGAACTCACGAATGAAGTAATGTCTTTTCGCCACCTGAGAGATGCAATGAAAGTGAAAGTCACGCACCCTAGCACTCCAGCACCCGCCACATCTAATCTTTTGCTCAAGAATATGAAATTCAGACCTCCCAGGCATAGGAGAAGAGCTCGCTCATATGAAACCTGATTTTAAAGAAATTACATTATTAAACAAAAATGATGATGAAGTTCTTATACAGTAGTTGGGGTTATAGTCCAATCATTATAGCAATAAAAAAGAGTATTTCCTCAGAAAAATCAATATCTAAGATATTTTTTGCGAAAGCTTTGTCATGTTTTTATTAAATGACACCTTAAAACTTCTCCATTCTCTTCTGTACACTTTCCTTTTTTTTTTGTTTGTTTGAGGTAGGAGATTTGAAAATTTGTGGAAGAGATTATAATTTTCTTTAGATGGACAATTGAGGCATTGCTTCAAATGTGTATCTTTTCCAGCTGAATGGAATGAAGCAATCGAACGAATAGTTTAGAAGTTATAAGGGCCTCCCTCGATTCAAATGGAAAAATAAATTGGTAACAATGTCTCACTTGTTTGTCTAGAAAAAATTCAATTCTCCAACTCGAATCACCTCCTAATCTTTAAAAAGAGAGGGGGCATACAGTAGAAAGAAGGGGAGTTTTCAGATAGCATGGCAAAGTTCTGGTGAAAAAAATATCTTGGATATTAATTTTTCTAAAGAAAGAAAAAAAATCATTCCTTAAGAATCACCTTAGATGATGTTATCCACCCCATCAGCAGACCAAACGCTCCACCCAACAATACTCCGATCAATGGTTCAAGAGCTCTCTTCAGCAAGAACATACTGGTCATTTCTAAAATCATATTTTGCATCATTCAAACACACACTCTACAAAAAATCCAGTTCACAAAAGATTGCAATAATCAAAAATAAGTAATATAAAAAAGAAGAAAAAAATTCCTTCTTAGGTCAACAATTTTGTTTTATTAAATAATTTTTTCTCCCCATATGAATGAATTAATAGTTGAACATCAAGTGTTAAAAGAAATGTATTTGAATAAAAAGTATTTTACTATCGTCATATGCTGAGCTGGATTACCCATTAGGGGCCCCCTTTAAAAAATATTTTTGAAAATAAATTTTAAAAAAATGAAGAAAAACAATGATTTTAAAAAAAAATCAATTTCAAATATATATATTAATAAAATACGATAATTTTTTTTAGTTCTAATTTAACAAAATAAATTATTTTAAACATGCTTTCTTAAATGAGAAGATATATAAATACCTTTACAAGGGGTGATCAAATGAAAAGGTACGAAACGACGTAAAAACGTAACAATTAAATATTTGCATATTCCGCTATGGGAGAACGTAGCGAGACATCTCGGGATGCGATTGGAGTCTCTGAGTGGGATCGGAGCATGCGCGGGTGCCCACATGAGCAGGAGAGAGCATAGGCTCTTATCAAAAGCGGCGTCCAAATGATGCGGCACCGGATGGCGTTCGCGTTGCAAAATTCGACGATTGAGGGGCTGCGAGGTGTTATCCGATTTCCTCGAGCACAGAAAAACCATTACCTCCGATGTGTACTGTGAGACACTCTGACGCCTACGCAGGTCCATCAAGAACAAAAGACCGGGGCTGCTCACGTAGGGTGTGGTTCTGCTCCACGATAACGCGCGTCCATACGTCTCCAGACTCACACATATGGAACTGGCCAAGTTCAAGTGGGAGACGTTGGACCATCCGCCCTACAATCCGGACTAGTCGCCCTGCGATTTCCACGTGTTTGGTCCGCTGAAGAAATACCTGAAAGGGAAGCTCTTCAACTCGGACGACATACTCAAGGACGCTGTGAAGGACTGGGTCTCGTCAAGACCCCAGGAATTCTGGGAACAAGGAATCCTGCGGCTTGTTCATCAGTGGGATCGCTGTGCACAGGCCTATGGTGTATATTTTGAATAAAGTCTACATTTGTACCCACCGTGTCGTTTCGCACCTTTTCATTTGATCACCCCTTGTATATTTGAAGAAATAATCTAAGCATGCCGGTCATAAGCTGAGAATAATTTGGGTGTAGCTAATTACCTTTAATAGTAAACTTCGACACCTTTTTTCTAATTGTAATAACAATTTGTTTTTCAGTCAGCCACGTTTTAACGGTCAGAGTAACATGCTTATTGGTGTAGAAAAAATAATATTTTATTTTTTACGTAAGCTTAAGAAACAATTTTTTGAAATTGCCTTGAGAAGTTAAAATGCTTATCGAGAGGAAAAATCCCGCCAGGGCAACAGTGTTGTCAAGAGAAACAGCGGCCAGCATCAGAGTAGATATTCCTTTTTCTGTACCAAATCGCTTTTCGTCTAAATCAATCATCCCGGGCACCAATACTGCTGCAGATACAGCACATATGATGAACCTACAATTGAAGATTTCATTTATAATCGTCAGAAATAAAATTTACAGAAATTTCCTACTAATTATTACACTTTCTAAACAGATTTCAGTTACCCTCTTGTCTTTTTTTTTCCTCGAAGATTATGTACTTTCACTTTCGATATTTCATTCTCGTATCGGCAGTTGACAAATTGTTTCAGAGGTGTGTAATTTTGATATCATGTAACGATGCAAATGTGGATAGCCACTCTCCATCAACCTATAGATATTTTCGCGGTAGACAAGGCATCGAGATGAATCCATCTACAGTATCCGGGACAGCGTTGAACCCCTGTCCAGGAGGTCGAGAATTGAAGGTTCTCTGGTTCAGGTCAAAATTACGATCGTGTGTGTGTGCATTCATGGCCATAGATGGCGCCACTGAAAAACCTCCCTCTTCCTTAAATTTGCTTGATTCACCACGCAGGGTTGCTTATTGGTTAGTCCCGGCAAGTAGCATGGGAAACAATAACAACATGTTCAGTAAAATGAAACATAACCCAACTTACGAGGTTTGTAGCAGAATGATATGCTAATCGAACATTTGAGATCATTCATCACGTGATTTATTATAGTACAAATGATCGCCGATAGGAGAGTTTGTCCATGAATCCATAATAAAGGGGATGGTGTGCTTCAGCAAAGGAGCCCCCCCCCCACTCATATAGAACATCTAATGACACCTAAAGGAATGAATTGATGAATTTTTTTGTCTTATTTTTAATTTCCCGAGAGTATAATTTCAGTGTATGTTCTTCATACCATTCAACCCTGGGGGTGTCATACTGTTTTATAATGTGTCTACCACAACAAAAATTCAATTCCAGTGCATTGGTATATAAGACATGTTAACTTGATTCTATGACGGAGTACCTTTTCATAGATGAATGTTGACATTGTCAATATGACTAACCACACATTGGTGACCCGGACGTGATGTAAACACGCCTACCGCGACAGAAACTCCCACTTCGATTTGAACACGCCTACTTCGATGGATTGTCCACATTTAACAGTTGACTTGCTACTTGTGACAGCGACATTATTCACCTCCTCGCGCTGTTGCTACTCAGTCTCGATCACACACAACGTCGGCCTGCATACACTCGACTGCTAATGGCAACACAGGAGCAATCACGACCGTGAACTTAATACAGCTCTCATGATTAGCACTCAAAAGTACGGTGATCTTAATACAGCCCTCCCGGCCTCTCACTAAACAGCAATGAGCCAACTAGAGGCACCCGCTCATCGAATTCTATCACAGATATAATTCTGGTGGGGGAGTGTGTCTACCACTACAAAAATACAATTTCAATTCACGAGTATATAAGGCATGCTAACTCGATTCTGTAAAGGGGTACCTCTTCATAGATAAATAAACTCCACAGTTATGTGAAACTCACCCTAACATGAGTGACCAAGTCCATGGCAAACCTAAAAAGAGTTTGGAAAAGACAGCCACTCCTATTGTTTCACTCAGGCAGGGAATGAGAGAGAGCTTCAAGGTGGCGAGTTTTAATTTTGACAATTTGTCTGGGTCGAGACCGAGGCCAGCTTTCAGCAGTATGGCAGTGAGAGCACAATCTCTGTGGAACAGACATATACAGGTATTCAGTAAAAACATTTATGTCTAAGTGATAAATGCTTCATATTTAACCAATTTTTTTGAAAGAAATATTATCTTATTAATTTTTTTGTAAAAAAAAATGCAAAAAATAAATATATATATTTTTTATTTTATTAATAAATACAAGGCACTAAAACAAAATACCATACACAAGTTGAAATTTTTTTTACGTGTGAAAAATATTTAATTGACCACCAGTTGACTATCCCAAATGATCTCGGGCAAATGAAAAAAGTTAAATATTAGTCTTTGTACATGTTCATCATCTGCATTACTTCACGAACGCCATTTTTTTTGTTACTCTATCTAAATTCAACAACCATCGTATATACAAAACATTATTATTTTTCGATTTGCTTCCCGGCCGAATAAATACGTGATAAAACGCATTGCCCGAGATATTATACCCGAGTTAACTCGGGATAATCAGGGAAGTTAGGTGAAAGAATGTTTTCTTGGTTCGTCTGGATCCACTCTCTGTGTAGTGGACTGGTGCACGTTAAATATGTCGGGTCACAAAGCGCTCCATAACCCTGGGGATATTGAGATGGGTCGTTCTCTAATTCAGGTCAAAATTACGATTTGTGGATGGATGGATCCGCCCTGTAAAACTGATGTGACGTATGGGTGGGGCAGAAGTAAAATTCTTGACCATAGATGGCGCCACTGAAAAACAAGAAAACTCTCAGTACCGCCTTAATGGCTGAAGACAACAACGTTTTCTTCAAATTTAAAAATTAGGAAACTCGTGCCGATTTTGTTTGTCTTCGGAATTTTCTTTATCGACCAAACTCACAGTGCTTTTTCAGCAAAAGCTGATTTTATTCTGAATAATTATAATTTTATTCTTAGTTTATTATTAATAGATTTTCATTCTGAACACAGCCTGAAATGCGCGTTCACGAAATGCATGTTTATTAAAATGGACACAACTCCAAACGCTTCGTAACAAAAATGGAAAAATTGCTTAAAATATACGTATTTATAAAAACGGACACTGCTCAAAATGCCACCTGTACTCAAAGTCAATTAAATTCACATAGCTCAAAAAGCATGTTTTTAAAGATGGACACAGTTCATATGCGTGTTTACGAAAATAGACACCATTCAAAATGCATGTTTACGAAAAAGGACGCGAGTCAAAGTGTGCATTAACAAAAATGTAAACTTGCTTAAAATATGTGTCACTCAAAAATAGGAGCCTATTCTCAAGACTCGTCATACATGAAAAGGGAAACAAAAAGATTTGAAACCGAAAACGTACCTTGCTTTCACTCTCGGCCACCGCGGCTTTTCTAGTTTTGTTTTCCTCCTTTAGTTTCCATTTTTGATTAACAACTTTACGTTTTCTGTTTTAAATCCCTTTTGTTTTGTTCATTCACTCTTGAGAATGGGCGCCTATCTTTTTAACGCACAAAACATGTCAACTTTTATCACATCTTTCATATCTTAAATCAAATGAAATCATTTCTTTTCCCGATTTAGTTTCTTGGTATTTCATTGGTTGCGACGAATTTAGTTAAAATAAGTTACCTAATAATCGAGGACCACCACACGGAAACATATTTCTCAAATGAGAGAAGCGAGTGAAACATTATTCCAACAATTAATATCCCTAAAAGAGAAAAGAATACATTTATTATTTGTAGAAAGTACATATATATGTACTTGATATATATATATAAAACATAAAAAGCTTCAATTGATCTTTTTATGTTATCCTAATTGAAATACTTTCTCACACTTTTAAAAGCCACATCCTGTTCTTAAATCTATTTTTGGCTCATGTATGCATTTAATTAAAAGCAGGACATTTTCCTCTTTGCTCTGTGTGGGAAACGCTCGATCTGTTTTTGCTTTGCAAGATTTTCCCTAACATATAACCGAGGAGCGCAACTTTTCGTGTTCACTTTTACACACTTTCATGACTGCTCTGACTAATATTAAATAAATAAATTTTGTACCCTCCTTCCCCCCTAAGACCTGTTTTAATCCTTCCACTCGGCAACGACGTTATAT